CGACAAAATCAACCTTAAACGATCGTTATACCAATAATGCAAATCATAGCGCCCGCGACAAATGCCACGAACGCGACGGGCTGGCACTTGTTCTGTCCCCTCCAAGTACCGCGACAAATGCCACGCACGCGACGGGCTGGCACTTGTTCTGTCCCCTCCGAGTCGCGCCCGCGATAGATGCCACGCCCGTGACGGCCTGCCACTGGTTCTGTCAGACGAAGTGTCGCGACCGTGACGTATGTCGCGTCCGCGAAGCCCTGGCACTGGTTCTGTCCCCGTAAGTTTCGCGCCAGAAACGCAAAAGTCGAAAAGGTCGTGATGTGAGGTGCAATTTTGCCTAAAAAAAGGTAACAATCTAGGATTACTATTAATTTTTTTTACAAAAATAAAATATAAATATATTCAAATTTAATTTAATATTTTATTCAAATTTAACAAAACATTATTAAATTATAAATTTTGATAATACGAAACTTATATAGATAAACATGATATATATATATATATATTTATATATATATATATATATATATATCATGCATTAAATTGGTTGACATCTTATCACAAATCTATTTCTTTCCTTCTAAAAAAGGTGGATTTGGTCGAAAAACAACCATAACGAATATAAACTCGTTATTTCATAATTTTGTGATGAAGGTTTTGACGATCTAACAACTTCATACTATCGTTTCAATGACATTTTTCATCAATATACATGCGTTATCAAGTAAATCGATCGAAAAAACCATAAATAAAGCGCGATTTGGTCGAAAAACAATCATAACGAATATCTTTCCGTTATAACATTGAAATAACGAGTTGATATTCGTTATGGTTGTTTTTCGACCAAATCCACCTTTAACGATCGTGCATTCGTCATATAAGGCATTATAAAGATACTAAACTCCTAATAGGTATATTATTAGTCATTTTTCAAGTTCAAACAATAAATTTACGAATATTTTATTGACTGCGGCTAATAAGTATTAATTAACTCATTGAGAAGTCTTGCTTGATTGAGATTAATACTATCATTGGTTACAAAAGCATAATTTTCCATCATATAGAATAGAGGCAGTTCAAAACAAAAGCATCATTAAGCCCAAGTATATAGAATATAGGCAAATAAGCCCAAGGCAATAAGAGCAACCAAATACAATAATCACAAAAAGCCCAACAAAACTAGAAGATTGAGACTATCTGTTGGCAATGCAACTCCCATTGGATCCAACAGCCAGTTTCAAACTCCAAGTCCCCAAAAGAGAGTTCAACCATTGCACAAAAATGGCCTAGAAGAACTCCCAGCAAAAGAAATCAAAAGCATGCAACAACAAAAACTATACACAAAAGAAGCAACAAAATCCCCAAAATAAACAAGGCTAAGCAACCACCCTGCTGAATTCTCTCCATTCCCTGCACGCCAGTTCAGCTACAACTCTGTCTTCTTGATTCATATTAGAGCAATTTGTTCGGCCGGCGGCCGAATGGGAGTGAATGGGTCTTGTTTGGTAGCTGGTGTTGTAGACGAAGAATCGGGCTGTGGTTCTATAATTTCTTCCCAATTTAACTTGGCAGCCACTTCATCTTGCACGGGCACATAATCCTAAAAATGTCAGCCAAACAAGACACATTTGAGATGAAAAACCAAAAACAATACATCAAGAAAGGGAAAAGCGACTCTGAAGATTCTTCTCTCCACATATACATGTGCCTATTTGTGTATACTATTTTAGTGAAACTTTAAGATTATGGAGAAAGAGGAAGCATCAATTTACTGTATGACAAGAAATAAGTTGATATTATTGAAAATATATCAACTAACATCAAGTTTTTGGACAAGCTCTTTGGGATTAGGTGCAGAAACAAAGATGTGGCGCTCCGAAGGCTTTATGAAGCCATCATCGACTGCTTTGTCGATAAAAGTTAGGAAGAAGTTGTAGTAGCCATCAACATTCAGTAAACCCACCTAATTAACAAACAAAGTCTCAACATATTACAAAAAATATAACAAATGAATAACATAAAATACAAGTCATATGTAGCTCAGAAGTTAAATATATTTCTCACAGGCTTGTCATGGATGCCTAGTTGAGCCCAGGTTATAACCTCTAACAGCTCCTCCAAAGTACCATAACCTCCTGAAAACAAGAAACATTTTTAACAAAACAAGTTCATATTTTACATACATTG